CCACATGAGAGAGGAAAGTGTACTGCCCCCCCACCAAGTGTTCGACCTGGAGACTAGATCCTGGGATGCCAGGATGGATGCAGTCCCTCTCAAAGAAGAGGAAGGAAGGCCCAGAGCTCAGCCAGCCGGGAGGAGGAAGTACTGTGAGCTCTTCAGAGCCCATCCATGCTGGTGTCCATCTGTCTGTCCAGAGCAGAGTAGTGGAAGGGCTGGAGGTCCACTGAGAAGCTGAGAGGATGTCTAGGCAAAGAGGTGCTTGCCCAAGGGAAGCAGGACCTCCACACCAACAGGCTGGGTAGTGGGCAACACCTGGTCCCCAAAAGGCCTAGGGTAAGGGGGATGCATCTAAGAGCCTTGGGGAGAAGGCTCTACCTTGGGGTCATCACATTCTCTCCCACTCCAGCTCAAGTTCTCTCTTGGTTCACAGCTTCCTAGAAAAAGGACAGAGAGTCATCATTTCTAAGTCCCTCATCGAGGACTTTCCTCCCCTTATTTCCACTGAGAACATCCCTCACAGCTTCCTATATGTCGGGCAGCCCCAAGCAAGGAGCCAGGCCCCATTCTAGCCAATTGGATGTGTGGAAGTTGGAAATCTCGATTTATATCAAAAAATCAGTTAGCAAATCCCACTTTATTATACAAGGGTTTTTTTGTTTGTTTGCTTGTTTGTTTTTGCAAATGGAGAATTTCATCTGCAGAGCAGGAGTTGAAAAAAAAGTGTTTGAAATGTTATTCATTTTACAAAAGTCTGATTAATATTTGGTTTTTCAGGAAGAGGAAGGAAGTAGAGTGACCTCTTGAGTGCTGAGTGTGGTTGTGTAAACTGCAGACTGCACAAGGAGACCCTGCCAATACAGAGGGGAGGCATCTCACAGAAATATTTATGCCACAGGTTATTTGTACAGTTTGGTGTCTTTGTAAACCATTCATACAGATGTCTAGCAGGTGGCAGTCAACTGTTTTAACAAAATCAGTATGTTATCACAGTCTTCCAGGAGCTGGCAATCAAGTTCTCCAGGAAAGGGTACTGTTTTCTTAGTGCACAAAGCAATATATGGGCTCGTGTTGGCCTCCACTATAACCAGGAAGAGATGGGTGGGGTCAGAAAGGAAACTGGGTGGGTGGAGCTCAGAGGTCACTGCAACATCTGGGCACAGAGCAGGTAGTGTCTGGCTTCCAGGGTCATCCTGGGCAGTTCCACACCTCAGGGTCGCTGTATTCCTGGATCCAGCTGGGGTGAGGCCTGTAGGTGACCCAAACTGTCTCCGAAGTGGAGAGAAGAGAGAAGTCGAGTGGGCAGGGAGCAGACCTGGATGTAAGATGCCAAGAAAGCACATGTGAGGAAAAATGAGACAAAAAGGGGACAGTGGGAAGCCTCATGTTTCAAGGCCTCTTCCACCTGCTGTGTGACCCTGGCCAATCATTGGCCCTCTCAAGGAAATTGCAGGAAGACTCCTGCAGACTGCACCTCAGAGAAATGCTGGCCTGAGGACCTGTCAATTCTTGGACGGTTTTCAACTCTGACTGTGTCATTCTGTTTAAACCCTGTAATGACTCCCCAGCACCAAAAAGTCCAGCTTTGTTAGCATGGTCCCCAAGCCAGCCTGCCCTATCCCTGCCATGTCTGCCCATGCACCTGTAAGTGCACCCCCAGGCCTCTCCCTGCCCAGACAAAGTAGACTAGAGCCTATGACGTCTGATTCACTCCAGGGCTCCTTTTACCCTGGGAGGCCGTATTCCTTAGTGCTCGACACCAAGACGTTGGTGACAGACAACTTGGATCCAGATCCTGGCTCTGCCATCTCCGTACTCTGTGACTTTGGGCATGTTGTTCACCCTCTCTGTGCCTCTATGCCTGGATCATAATAACTCCTCAGTAAGTTTTAGCTATTATCATTACATTCCCATTCGAATAGGGGGAAATTCCACAGTAACTCAAAGGAGGAGCTCTCTAGCTACAGAAACAGTAGAAATCAGAGGAGTCTGACAGACTTGGCAGCTGTTGAGAGGATCTGAGTAGTAATTAGCAAGAGGGACCTCCCCCTTTCCCATTTGGAGCCTGTAGGCAGTCGGTGAATTTCTCAATCTGTCTTGCCATTTACAGGCCAGTTACACAACCTGAATCAGATGACCACAGAACTCTTATGGGAGGAGAGCCAAGGCTAGCAGGGGAAAGCCAGGTTGACACACATATCTAGCCACGGTCCAGGGGCAGAGCGTATTTGGCATATCTGTTGGTCCTGGAATGAAAGGGACAGGGAGCAGACTCAACCCCAATCTGTAGCCTAAGCAGAGCTATCCCAGACAACCCACAGAACTCTGACAGAGTAAAAGAAACATGTGTTCTGGAATCCATTGAGATGCGGGGGATGTTTGTTATGTAGCATTACCAAACAGAAATTACTGACTAATACAACCAGGATCAGAGTATGATTTTGAACATCTGATTTAAAAAACACAGAGGGAGGGGCTCCTGGGTGGTTCCGTCAGTTAAATGTCCAACTCTTGATTTTGGCTCAGGTTGTGATCTCAGGGTAGTGAGAGAGAACCCTGCATCGAGCTCAGCATCAGGCTCCATGCTCAGCATGGGGTCTCCCTGAGAATCTCTCCTTCTCCCTCTGCTCCTCCACTTCAATGGTTTTCTCTCTCTCTTTCCCGCAAATGAATGAATGGATGCATAAATAAATAAAAACATAAAATCTTTAAGAAACACACAAGGAGAGAGAAAGAGAAGGAGAGAGAGATATTAATGTATGGAACTTCTACCCTATAGTTTTTTTTTAAGATTTTATTTATTTATTTGATAGAGAGATCACAAGTAGGCAGAGAGGCAGGCAGAGAGAGAGGAGGAAGCAGGCTCCCTGCTGAGCAGAGAGCCCGATGTGGGGCTCGATCCCAGGACCCTGGGATCATGACCTGAGCCAAAGGTGGAGGCTTAACCCACTGAGCCACCCAGGCACCCCTACCCTGTAGCTTTTATTCTCACTTCTTTCCTCTTTATTGGGAGGAATATCCACTGGGGGCCAGGAGTTGCACAGGACTAGCCCATGGATGTGACAGTGTCTCTTGTGATTGTACTCTGTTAGGAAATGAGCAGATTTTCTCTCTTTCTGGATCTCTCTTTCTCTATGCCTAACCTTTCTGAGCTTCTCTTTTCTACCCCCTACCCTGGTGTTTGAAGCTCAGAGCAGTGAATTTGCATGGAATTGCTTAAGAACATTAACTGGTAAACTGCTTCCAGGCAGTTTCATAATCTGTTCTATAAAGGAACACCACAGATGGCATGTGTGACCTACTGACAACAGGGTTTCCCACAGCTGTGAATGTTGTTTTGTTTGTTTTTATCACAGCCTGCTTCTGTATAAAGTACCTTGATTCCTAGAAGTTTATCGACCAAGGTAGCTTTGGCTGAATTGCAGTTCCACCACTCCGATGCACAGGTGGAGGCCTGGTCCCGGAATGAAGGGACTCGAGCCTGGGCCTGGCTTCCAGATGGCACTCCCAGCCCCAAGGAAGTTTCCTCACCCCCACAGCAGATCTGCCTGTGTTCTCCTGACCAAACTTGACCTTGAGCTCCTAGAGACAGAGATATGGACACTCAAAAGTCAAAGAAGTCTTGGGGCTGGAGACCAAGGAACAGAGCGAGACTAATCCCAGGATTCACTAATTCCATGACCCCAAGGGGACTGCCAACTGCCCGGTGGATTACAGGATGGGCACCTTCCCTCCCCATCATTTAATCCAAAAATTGACACATGCATCTGCCCCACTTCCTACGGCAGCTCTGAGAATCTCCTTCCCACCATACTGCTTCCCCCAACCCACCAAGTACCTACTTGCCCAGACCTCAAAGTGGGCCTGTGGCTGCTGGGGTGAGACTCTGACCCTCATCTGTCTGATATATCTCTCTGCCCACCTAGGATAGGAACAACACGGAAGGATGTCACTTAGAATGATTTGAGCATTTTTCTGACCAATGGAGGCTTGAAGCAAAGTAGATAGCTGTGTGGGTCTGTTCCAGTCAGAGAATATTTTGATAATCCAGTAAAATCGTTGTTGATGACTCCTGGCTTGGTTTGTGTTTGAAGCTGGCATTTTTCATCTGTAAGTGTGTATGTATGTATGCATGTCTCTTTAAAAAAGTAGTTCAGTAAAAAATTAAGACTTGGTTCTTGTCTTTGGTCTAAAGTTCAATTTTGGAGTAAACTCTTAAAAGTTGGGGATTGAGGGGTGCCTGGGGTGGCTCAGTAGGTTAAGCATCTGCCTTCGGCTCAGGTCATAATCTCAGGGTCCTAGGATCAAGCCCTGCATCAGGCTCTCTGCTCAGCAAGGAATCTGCTTCTCCCCCTCCCTCTGTGATCTCTCTCACTCTGTCTCAAATAAATAAATAACATCTTAAAAAAAAAGTTGAGGATTGAGTTCAATTTGCTTTCTCTAGAGCCCAGAAGAGTGGGTGGTACTCATTAGGTGCTCAATAAAAGTTAAAACTGATGGACTCAATAACAATGTAAAATAAACAAAAAGCTACAAGCAGCTTACATTGGTAAGGACTTTTAGTTGTACCTTGGTAACAGTTTGGATCTCTTGAGGGTCACAAGGTCACACATCTGTCTAGTTTGGTTTTTAAATAGAGGTCTATTCAGAAGCTAAGAAGTCCTAGTTAACCTCTGCATATAACACTAATATCTACCAAATTATTGAGTGTTAATTACACATCGTGCATTCTGCAAAACAATTTACATGTTGGCCTCATTAAACCTTCACAATATTATCCCTGTTTTACAGATCAGGAAATAGAGGCTTAGAAAGATCACATGTCCTAAGCATGATCACTGAGTAAGATTATGGCAGAGAAGGGAATATATGCTGGGTGGGTCTGATTCCAAAGTCCAGCTCCTAACACCCACTCCTACTGACTCTTCCTTTACCCCTTGTAATCTTCCTGCAGACTCTTCCCAGAGCTTTTACTCCCCATGGAACTTGAGAAACATTAACCATGCTCACTGCACTTTGCCGCCTGTTTTTTTGGATCGTGGATGTCTTGGGAAGCTTATTCTGGTGCAATTTGTCTTTTGTTTGTTCTTCTTAAACATCTTGCTCATCCAATTGAAGTCTTCAGCAGGGTTCCCCCTGGGCAACAGATGAAGTAAATAGTTTGTTAATGACCTGTCCTGTGTCCTCCACTATCAGGGCCCTGCTCCAGCTCACAAGATAGACACACCAATGCTATGTCTTTTTTTTTTTTTTTAAAGATTTTATTTATTTATCTGACAGGCAGAGATTACAAGTAGGCAGAGAGGAAGGCAGAGAAAGAGAGGAGGAAGCAGGCTCCCTGCCAAGCAGAGAGCCTGATGCTGGGCTCGATCCCAGGACCCTGAGATCATGACCTGAGCCAAAGGCAGAGGCTTTAACCCACTGAGCCACCCAGGCGCCCCGCAATGCTATGTCTTTTAACCCTGGCTGAGCCCCAGACTTCCCACAACAAACATTTGTTTTTATAATCAATGACCATTTATCTAAGTAACATCATGCTAATGAGTCAACTGAAACGTAACTGAACTTTTTTAAGTTATAAGTCAATGCAATAAAGTTTAAACCCTGTGAACAAAATGCATAGTATATGCCCAAGCACAAAATTTTTAAATTCATGAAAACGCTTTCAAAAAGTTTTATAATTAAAATTGTACTTAATGTGAGAACCAGGTATGTTTTGATATACTTGATACGATATAGAGTTGGAACATCAAAAGGACCTGCTCTGCCAATAGGTGCCGCTGTGGCCATGGAGAACCCCAGCCACCACCAGAACTGCCCCAAGGCAGGAGGGATGAGGTTGAGGAGGGGAGAGGTACTATTTGACCCACCTTCTGATCTCCTGCTGGTGTCTTCCATTGGCTAACCCAACTGGCAAGAAGCCAGCAAAGGGAGCCTGGGTAATGTGACCCCCAAGGAACTTAAAAAAATACCAGTCCTGGGGTACCTGGGCAGCACAGTCGGTTGAGCCTCCAACTCTTGGTTTCGGCTCAGGTCATGATCTCAGGGTCATGAGACTGGGCCCCACATGGGGCTCTGCACTCATTGCAGAGTCTGCTTAGGACTCACTCTCCCTCTCTCTCTCTGCCCCTACAAAACCCCCCACGCTTCCCCAACCCCGTGCTCATTTGCTATCTAAAAAAATAAAACTAAATAAATCTTTAAAAAACAACAACAACCAATCTTCAGGCCCTCTCAGAATGACTGTGAAGGTAAGTAATGGAGAACATGTCACACAACCCAGACAATTGATGAGTATTATTAAAAAAGACTTTCTGGGGACAATCTATAACATAGGAATATTAGCCTGCTTATTGCGCTGGTAGAAAATAACTTGTATTAAAGGAGGCCTTTGACAGAGTCCCACAATTCATTCGGCCCAGGAAATAGCCTACTTCAGGCTAGGATGCAGCATGCCTGCTAGCTCCCTTGAACTGAGACACCACCAGAGAGTAAGACATGGGAGGTGGGGGTGTACGTTCTCCCACTGCACTCAGAGAAGGGACATTCCCCAGTGAGTACAGGAAGGAGCTGATGAGAATGACACTGTGAGCACAAATAGCTCATTTCCCATTCATTGCCCCCACTGAAGACAAGAGAAGTGTAAAGGGGTGGACTGTAATCACACAAACTAGAAAAGGATCCCAGTGTTGCTATGGCAGCTAAAAAGAAAGAAAATTTCCCTTAGCTGGGCCCTCCTCCCCCAGCCAAAGGAAAGAATGTGCCCCTAGTTAAGGAGAAACTTACATTATGTGAGGCTTGCTGGTGGCTTCCTTCACATTAACCAAAGGCATGGCATCTTTCAGATTTGAAGAGGCAAGAGGAGCTATAGTCAAAAGTAAAAATAGAGGAGACAAGAGTAAGGTGGCAAAATCTTGCCCATTTCAACTCATCTGTCACCTCCAAAAAGGCTTTCTTAACCCCCGAGAGAGAAGTGATCTTAATCTCTATGAGTACTTCCAACACTCTGTGTTTGCTAGTAATGTAGTACTTAATCATTTGTGCTGTGTTTTTAAGGTTAGTATCTCTGTCATCCCCTCGGCTGCAGGGGAGATTTCCTGATAGTGAGGAGCTGAGAGCTGTTTAGCTTTGAAGCCTCTAGAGCAGTGCTTCTCAAACTATCTGTAGACAATACCAGTTTTAAAGAACCATCTTTTTAAAATCTTTTTTTGGAATCCAAATGGACTAGTACTTTTGTGACATACAATACAAGGACTTAGTAGGAAAATGACCAAGCTCTTGGATGTCATGGCTGTAAACATTTCTAAATGCTTACTTTCAACCTCTGTACTCAGTTCATTGTGAATTAGTAACAAATAGTTTGGGGACCAGCATTGGCTCACGGAGCACTCTTGGAGTAGCTCTGCCCTGGAAGAGCAGTTATTACAATAACAAAAACCTTCTGGTACAGTAGTTCTCAATCACAGTTCTCAAAAGAACCCCCCGGAGGGCTTATAAAAAGACAGATAGCTGGATCCCACCCCCCTGAGTTAGTAGGTCTGTGGTAGCGCCTGAGAATTTTCATTCCTAACAAATCCCCAGGTGTAGAGTTTGCTGTAGGTCAGAGACCAACCTTTGGCAATCAGTGGACGAAAAGATAAGAACAAAGGTCAAGAACACTGCCCCCTTGTGGTGGCCTATCCTCAAAACAGGTAGAACGGCTAAAACTAACTGCTGACTTTACCAATGCACCCCCCAACGCAATGGTTATAGGCAACTAATGAGTTGTTGAACACTACATCAAAAACTAATGATGTACAACAATGAATCTTGGAACACTGCATCAAAACTAATGATGTATTTTATGGTGACTAACTTAACACACACATACAAACTAATGATGTACTATATGCTGGCTAACTGAACATAATTAAAAAAATAATAACGCAATGGTTATCAACTCCCATGTTGTGGCACACTTGCTGAGGGGCTTCAGACATAAGGAAGGTGGAAGAAGCCAGAAGGGTCCATACCTTGGGGCTGTTCTGGGACTAGTTCCTCCACAGGTGGCTGTGCAGGTGACACTGAAGGAGAACACAGGGGCAGTGTGTGAGATGTCCCCACAGATGAAGACCCCAGGGATGGCCTGGGTGACAGAGATGACTGGGAGGGTGGGGATCTTGGCGGTGATCCAGTCATTTGTACCCTCTGCTGTGGTGGTGATATATGAGACAGCGCAGGTGTGGAGCTGAGTGGTAAGGGCACAGCTGGGAGTGATACAGGGGGCAAGTCAGCTGGAGAATGTGATGGTGATGAGGCCAGTGGAGATGCAGGTGACTGCTCGAATGAAGAGACAAGTGGTGAAACAGGTGATTCTACAGGCCACTCATGTGTGGATTCGGGTGTCTGCACAGGTAAGGACACAAGTGGACTGTGGCAGCTCTTTCCTTCCCCTTCAGGAGCCCACTGTGTGTGAGGTTGTATGGATTCTTCTTGCTCTGTTTGGAGGCTTGACTGACTGAGTTCAGGGCACTCACTGCCAAGGGCAAGTTCTATATTGCAGTATACTTCCACACGGGGGAACATCACTCTCTTGGAGGGAGAATTGAGGTAAGCAGCATCTAGGAAAACAATGGCATTGGGTCACCGGTGGCATTACTAGCCCCTGGCATCAGCATGGCATTTTCAAAAAGTGATTTCCCAAGTTATTTTCATAAGCAGGATTAGTGCTTTTTAATGGCCTTTCTTTACTTACTCAAATTTATATTGAGTATTTGATTGTGTATTGATTCACTTATTCAACAGATGTTAATTGAGCAACTATATGTGCCAGGCATTATACCAGGTACTGAGGAGTGAGGGAGACAAAAACAGGTGTGATGGTTCTTGGCCTCTTGGAGCTTATAGTCTGGCTTGGGGGCAGGCATTGATTATCCAAATAATCTCGTTTTAACCAGGACAAGTTCTAGGTGAAAAAGGAACATGATGTTAGAAGAGAGGGAAGCAGGGAGGACTTCTTCAGGAGGGTTTCCCTGAGGGAGCAACATTTGCACTGAGATCTGAAGGGTGAGTGAGGGTCCAGGGGGTGTTGGTGTGGGATGGGGAGGAGCATTTCAGACAGTAGGAACAGCACACACAGATGCCACAGGTTTGAGGGAGCATGAGGAAGGCCTGAAAGGTCAGTGTGGTTGGAGCAGGGGTGGGGGCATGTGGTGGGAGATGGGGCTGAGGAGGCCACTGGAGCCCAACCATACTTGTAGAAACCATTGAGGGCCCTTGATTTTCACAGAGACCATGAAAGACCTACAGGCAATGGGGCTGCTGCACTGTCTCTGGCTTTGACAAGATCACTGTGACTGCTGTGTGGAGACTCGCTGAGAAGGGCCTAGAGGACCCAGGGAAATGTGTAAGGCAGTGGTGGAGAGGTGCTTAGGGCTTGCACCTGGAAGGAGAGAGAAATAACTAAAAGATTCTATTTAGGAGGTAAAATAAATGAGAACTGGCAATGGATTGACTGGGGGGAAGAGAGGAGGGAGCTGGCTTGTACAACCAGGTAGATGCTGGTGTTGACAGGGTGAACAGGGAGGGGATGGGTTAGGGGAGCAGTGAGGAGGGCACAAGTTAAAGTTTGTTTGAGGATATGTGGATTTTAGGGGTACTTAGAGATATCCAAGGAGAGATGAAAAGTGTGGGCACTCAGATATATGGATTGGATCTCAGAGAAGAGTTGAGGGTTAGAGGTGTACATTTGGGAATCCATCTATGGATGGTCATTGAAGCTGTGAAGGTGGTCATGGAGGAGTTTGCCTAGGGAGAAAAAGCAGAGTGAGAAGAGGAGGGAGCCAGGACTGAGTGAGGAGGGGGAGAGGGGAACCCAGGCCAAGATTCTAAAATGGGCAAGACTGGGGAAGACTGGGGTAGACTGGGGTAAGGATCCATTTGAGAAGTGGGGATTGGATATATAAAAGAGAGATGAAATAATGGATAATTCAAGAGTGCTGAGGTGGGAAGGGGTCTGAGCACAGGTAGGGAGTGGGCTCTAGGCAAGAAAAGGGTTGCTTCCTTTAATGTTCTAAGAAGGAGGGAGACAGAGCAGGCTGAGTTTGAATATTTGGTAGTGCAAAGTTGAGAGAACTTCCTTCTGTTGGCTTTGTGTTTCTCTGTGAAGTTGTTTGGAGGAAGTCCTTCTCCTGGTGATCAGGGAGAGGGGAAGTTTTAAGGTGGTGATTGCAGAGGAGGAGAGACTATGTTGCCAGGATAAATACAGCACAATCACATTTTATGTAGAAACTCACAAGCTAATTCTAAAATTCATATGGAATTATAAAGGACCTGGAATAGCCTAAACAACTTTTAAAGAAAAAAAAGGAACGAAGATGGAAAACTAAGACTACCTGGTATCAAGATTTACGATAAAGCTTCAGGGATCAAGACAGTATGATATTGATGTAGAAACAGAGAAATAGATCAATTGAACAAAACAAAAGGTCTAGAAATAGACCTGTGACATACAGAGACAACTGACTTTACTCAACAGAGATAGCATAGTCTTTTAAACAAACAATGCTGGAACAGGTAGTCATCTAAATGAAAAGAAAAAAAAAAACTTTATTTTATATCTTGAACCATATTCAAAAATTAACTCAAAATGAAATATAGACACAATGAAAAAACAAAAAGCTATAAAACTTCTAGAAGGAAACATAGGAAAAACCTTTTTGTGATCTTGAGTAAAGCAAAGATATCTTAGATAAGACACCAAAAGCATTATCCATAAAGAAAGCAAATTAATAATATGGGCCCCATCAAAATTAAAAACTCCTTTTTAGGAGACTGTTAAAGAACTGAAAAAAGAAATCACAGACCGAGAGAAAATATTTGCAAATCATATTTCAGATAAAGGGCATTTATCAAGAATACATAAAAGCTCTTAAATAAGAAAACGACTCAATTTTTAAGCTGGGCAAAAGAGCCCACTGAGGGGTGCATAGGTGGCTCAGTGGGTTAAACCTCTGCCTTTGGCTCAGGTCATGATCTCAGGGCCCTGGGATCGAGCCCTGTGTCGGGGTCTCTGCTCAATGGGGACCCTGCTTCCCCTTCTCTCTCTGCCTGCCCCTGATCTCTCTCTGTCAAATAAATAAATAAAACCTTTAAAAAAAAAAAAAAAGAAAAAAGAGCCCACTGAAAGAGCTCTCAATGGCCAAAGGAAATCTGAATATACAGACTTCAGTTAATAATAACCAACATTAGTACATTAATTCTCAACACTACACTAGACTATGTACCAAATTTTATATGTACCATACTATAATTTCTAACAAATATAAGACATAATAATACGGAATGTGGAGTACATAGAAGCTCTTCATGCTATTTTCACATTTTTTTCTGTAAATCTAAAATTATTCTTAAAAATAAAGCTTATTATAGGTCTGGGTGGGAAATGATCAAAAGAATTGAACCCTTCAACAAAGATGATATATAGATGGCAAATAAGCATATGAAAAGCTGCTCAACATTATTAGTCATTTAGTAAATACAAATTAAAATCACAATCAGATGCCATCACACAACTATTCACATGGCTGTAATTAGGAAGACTGACCATTTCAAGTGTTGGTGATAATATGAAGAAACTGGAACTCTTATGCATCGCTGACGAGAACGTAAAATGGTACAACCACTTCAAAAAATAATTTAGCAGTTTCTTAAAAAGTTAAACATACCTTCTGGGTATATGCCCTTAGTATATATCCCAAAGAATTGAAAATAAGACATTTGGAAACCTGTGCTAAGAAGAAGAAACAATTCAAATTGTTCTTTGGTAAAGAAAATGCAGTATGCACACAGGTGTATGTCACATGCTACAAAATGGATAAACCTGGAGGACATTATTATAGCAAAATACACCAGTCACAAAAGTCAAGTACTGTGTGATTCCATTGATATGAGGTATCTGAAGTAGTCCATCTCCTAGAAGTAGAAAATAGAGTGGTGGTAGCCAGGGCCTAGGAGAAGGAGAAACATGGAATCACTTAGTGATGGGTATAGAGTCTCAGTTTTGCAAGAGGAAAAAGTCCTGGAGATTGGTTGTACAGTGTAAATATACTTAACACAACTGAACTGTACACTTAAAAATGGTTAAGATGGTGGAACACTTGGCTGGCTCAGTTGAAAGAGCGTGAAACTCTTGATCTCAGGGTTGTGAGTTTGAGCTCCACATGAGGTGTAGAGATCACTTAAAAATAAAAAGTCTTTAAAAACTGGTTAAGATGGTAAATTTTATGTTATGTGTTTTACCCTAATTATACATATATATAATTGTATATTACATAAGTATAGGTTAAATGTACATCCACCATACCATCTAAACATTCCACTCCTCAGTATTTACTGAAGAGAAAGGAAAGCATAAGTTCATACAAAGACTCCATGAGTATTCACAGCAGCTTTATACATAATAGCTCAAACTGGATACCAACTAGATGTCCATTAATGGGTGAGTGGAGAAATGAACTGTGGGGTTTTCATAGATGGAGTGGAATGTAAAAAGGAATGAACTATTTATACACGCAATAACATGATGAATCTCAGCATGATTATACTGAGTGAAAGAATGCAGACAAAATCAAGCCCATACTGTAAGTCCATACTGGAAATTTCTAGAATGACAGAAAGTAGATTGGGGGCACTGAGGGAAAGTGGGAAGGGTCACAAAGGAGCATGAAGAAGACTTTGGGCATGATGGATAATGGTTCACTCTCTTGATTGTGGTGTTGATTTCACAGGTGTGTGTGTGTGTGTGAAAGTGAGAGAGCGGGAACTTAACAAATTATGTGAACGAGGAAGGGTGCAAGAGAAGGAAGAATGCCAGGAAGGAAGGAAGGAAGGAAGCAAGGAAGGAAGGAGAGGGAGGAAGGGAGGAAGGGAAGGGAGGGAAGAGAGGGAGGAAGGAAGGTCTAGCCAGGCACGCCTGGATGCCAGATGGATAATTTTAGACATGACATCCTTTGAGCTCCAACCTCACTCAACGCCCACATCCACATGTCTGTGTGGGGAATGTGGATTTTCAAGCCTACCAGCAAGCAGTGCCCTTCCCTTTGGCAGGAGGCCGCTGCCTGGAGAGGCCAAGGGTGGAGGGGGAAGCTCGCCTGGCAGCAGGAATAATTAGGCAGATGTGAGTCCTGAGAAGGGCAGAAAAGGGGGATGCCAGGATGTGAGCTGAAGAATTCAGGGTGACATCTTGCAGGTGTGGCCTTCTGCCGGAGCTGACCCCCATCCAGAAAGCAGTAGGGTAGGAGGCTGGAGCGGACTCCCGTTTTTCTGTTCCCAGATGGCAGGTGGGAATTAAGAGTGTGGCTCTGGGCACCAGCCGCAATTTCTCTGGATGCGTCATACCTTCTGCTTGCATCTGGTGCTGAGAGGAAAATCCAGTCCTACCAAACCCAAGAGGATTTAGGGGAGGGGCTGAAGGAACCTGCGCTGAGAGAGCCATGCAAACACTGGCAATTTGGAAGGGGAATCGAAAATAGCTGGGAGCCAGCTTCTTCCTTATGAGTTGGGTCAGTTCCTGCTTGGAGTGATTCTAGGGCCTGAAAAAACCCACCATCCTCCATACACTGCCCTGATTCTTCAGCAGATGCCGAAATGCTCCTATTAGAGTCTCACCCTTGGGTTTAAGACTGTCATTTATACAATGGCGTCCACATCAACTAAGGGGGGAAGGGTGGGGAAGCATGAGACGGCGCTGGGAGAGACCAGAGATGCTAAAGCAGGGCACTTTGTAACTTACCCATCCACTACCCTCCCCCCCGCCCTGGGCTTGCCCTGAGAGGAAGAGAAAGAAGTTCTAGGGGAGAGACAGGGACATTTGGTAACCAGGCAGCCAGGTGCAGAGGGGTCTCCTGAGGCAAGGAATATGTCCCAAGTCCTGGTTTCAAATCAGGGGATCCTCCAACCCCATGTCCCCAGTATACACCACAACTGAGGAAAGAGTGAAGGGGCTTCCCGCTGGGGATGGAAAGGACCTCAGGCCCTTGACAGCCCCTCCTCTTCCTGAGACTCCGTAGGTGAGACCCCATCCCTACCCCCCACTGACACTCCTCATGTGGTCCTCCTTTTGGGCACTTGGAGCTTAATTTTCACAGCTGTCACCCATGTAAATGTGTAGGAGGTGGGGAGCTATTCAAGTAGAGTCAGGGTCAGGAGGAGTCTGTCCAGCAGAAAGGCGAGAGGAGGGCCCTGTCTCCTAGATCAGAGGGTCAGTGGGCTGGATTGACTGTGTCCAGGAATAAAATTCTGAGGTGGGTTCCATGATCAGCCCTATTATACAGATGAGAAAACCGAGGTCCCAGGAGATGAATCCCTGGTTCAAGATGACACAGTTAGCAGGTGTCAGGAACCAAGATTTACCTTTTTTACAGATTAGGAACCAAGACAGGGAGGGCAGGTGATGTCCCTGAGTTCACACAGTCAAGGGGGATGAGAATCATGGCCCAGGCCTAATTGCCTCCAGAATCCACATTCCTTCCATCCTTCTCTCCTGCTCCTCCCATCCCCCAACCTTGTCCAGAGAATGGCCCCACCTCGTACTTACTCAATCGCCTCAAATAAGAAACGGTGTCTTCATACCCTCGGTAGTAATAGTTGTGCAGGATCTGCAAGGGGGGAGAGCAGGACAATGACAAAGGCTGCAGCAATGTTGAGAGCTGAGGTCCCCTCCCCCAGAGCAGCTCCTTTCATTGCCTTTGAGTTTTATTCAATGGATTTATAAAATGAACCCATCCAGTGTCCCATCCCTCACTATCTGCTAAGAAGTGGGGAGCAGTTATGATCTTGTGTCCATTAATGTGGCGGGTCATTAATGTGTTAAATAATTTACAGCTGATCATCAGCTTCCCCTGGGCAGGAGAGGGTGAGATGTTTGTAGTAGAACCAGAAAAGGTGCACGAGGGCCATATGAAGAGCCGAGTTTAAATCCCAGTGCTGTTATTTTTTAGCTGTGCGGCTCTATGGCTATAACCTCTCACGGCCTCAGTTTCTTCACCTGTAAAATGGGAACAATGGTCATATCTATTGCAAAGGATGCTAGAGGGTTACATGAGATATTGCTCACAAAGCTTTTCCATAAAGGGCCAGAGAGTAATATTTGGGGTTTTGAACACCACAGATAGTCTCTGTCTCTTCTTCTCGTTCTTCTTGTTCTTCTTGTTCTTGTCTTCCTCCTCCTTCTCCTCCTCCTTCATCTTCTTCTTCTTCCCTCTTCCTTCTCGTCCTCCTTTTCCTTCTTCCTCTTCTTTTCCCTCTCTTTCTCCTACTTCTACAACCATCTAAAAATGGAGAGCCCATTCTGAGCTCACAGGCTATATAAAAACAAACCACCTTGAGAATGAAAGTCGAGCACTGATGGTGAGCAGAAAGTCAAGTTCGAGAGGCTCTGATGAATACAATGTATTTATTCTGTCTTTCTTGAACTGCCTGTTGGTGGATTGCTTTTATGAGAGTAAATAGTCATACTCTTTACCAATAAATTAGTGTAAGGCAGATGCTGGAATTCCTAACGCAGTTGGAAAACAAAGAGTCAATCACATTAATAAAATATCTTGTGTATCCATTGCCTGACTAAGCATAATAGTGTTTTGATTATGAGTTTTGTAAATAATGATTAGACTGTAAGTCACAAAACTGGCTTAGAGGAGTTATCATTCAAACAATAATTGCTGAGAACCTTCTATAAGCAAAGTCTTTTGTAGACATAGTGAGTGTAGTCAAAGAAATGAGTAAAACTTGGTGCCTACTCCCAGGATCACACTTCGTGCCAAAGAAAGACATGCATTTTGTAAAGACATCGAGACTTAATTTTTTTTTTTTTAAAGATTTATTTATTTATTTATTTGACAGATCACAAGTAGGCAGAGAGGCAGGCAGAGAGAGAGGAGGAAGCAGGCTCCCTGCTGAGCAGAGAGCCCGATGTGGGGCTCGATCTCAGGACCCTGAGACCATGACCTGAGCCGAAAGCAGAGGCTTTAACCCACTGAGCCACCCAGGCGCCCCTAGACTTAATTTTTTTAGAGCAGTTTTGGAAAGGTTATGATCTCGGGGTGCTGGGATTGAGCCCCTCCCGAGTCAGGCTTTCGGCTCAGTGCTCAGTGGGGAGTCTGCTTCTCCCTCTCTCTGTGCCCCTCCCCCTCACTCGGGCTGTCTTTCTATCAAAAGAAATAAAATAAAATATTTTTTAAAAAGTAAAATAAATAAAATTGAAAACAAACCCCAAAACACAAGCCACTGGCTGGATTTGGCCCGTGGGCCATAGTTGCTGAAGCCTACGTTGCACATCAGAGTGGGAAAGTTCCGGTAATGTCCTATCAGCAGTTCTGACATCATCTCCTTTTACAGGGGAGAAAACTGAGGCTGGGAGTACTTAAGGGCCTCATTCAAGGTCACACAGCTAGTTAGCCACAAATCCAGGATGCAGGTTTAGGAGGAAGTCTAAGGAGGCACAGATGGAACTGCATAGATCCCTCTCCCTACAGGCCCTGTCAGCTTCCCCCAGTTCCCCTTCCTTCCAGGCCCCTCATCTCACCAGTAGGTCCGGCGGGAACAGGGCATGGGTCATCCTGGCGATGTTCTCCAGGGAGAACTGGAAGGAGCAGTTGAACATGCGGAAGTCATGGAAGATGGCAGGGCAGTCCCGGGGGCAGATGTCTTGCTGCCCGCTGAAGGTGGAGATGGTAATGGCATCGGTCCAGAAGGAGCAGGGCTGCATGCCCGTGAAGCCCCCGTCGATGTAACGCTATGGGTGGGTCGGACAGAGTCGTAAATGCTAATGGGCTCAGAGAGGTCCTCTTCCCTATTCAGGGAGTCCACCAAGGAAATGGGTCCCTTGGGACAAGCCTGGAGACCAAGGTCCAGGTGGGTGCATGGTGTGTCCACAGTGGCCCCTGAACTCCCAGCCCAGGGCTCTGTCCCTACACTGTCTCCCCTCAGCCATCTCAAAGGTGCTGAGCCCGGGGAGGGAGGGCATTCATACTCTGGATAAAGCAGGAACACATGCTCCCCTATCCCAGCTGCCCCTCCTCAGCCACTCAACTGCTAAAAGCAGGGCGGGGGGAATGGAGCCTGTTTCCATGGTCTTTCCAGAAGGTGAACCCATGGTGGATCTGAGCAGGTTGGGCACTATCCCCTCTTCCAGACCTCTGTGAGTCCAAACTGCCCCCCTCTGTTGAGGTCGGGTATCCTCAGCACTTTCCAGAACACCCCCAACCATGGTCTGGCCACCAGCCACCACATAGCCCTTCCCTCTTGGGGCTTCTGTTGCCTCAGCTGTGAACAAAGGACCACAGATTCTGAGATTCTAACTCTCTGGGGTGCCTGAGAAGCACACGGCTGACATGAGCAGTATGTGCTCCATCTCCTAGAGGATCCAGGATTCAGGAGTCCAGAATCCTGATTTCTGGACTAATTTTCTCATTTTCTTTCTATATAAAATGAGGAAGGGGCATATGTTAGATACACCTACTCAGAGCGCGGTCTGAGGACCAGCAGCCCTAGCCAAAGCTGGTTGGAGATAGGCAGAGTCTCTGGCTCCCCTCTAGGCCTAGGGGATCAGAACTTGCGTTGTTTTACAAGACCTTCCCCCTCCTCAACCGGTGATTCAAGTGCATTAGCCTAGATGACTTTAAAGGTCGCCATCATTCACGGTTCCGGGTACCAATGTCACAGGGTCTGTATTCTATGCTCTCTGTCAAGTACGGGAAAATCCAGCAAGGCTATGGAGTCTTGACTAGCCAGGCTCAGTATTGGCTTGGTGGGCCCAGAGAGAAGCCCAGTGTATGGAAGGAAAGTTCATCTGAAAGCCCCAGAAATCCATCTCTACTGGGAATTCTAAGTAGAAAAACACAAGAATATTACCACCTCTTGGTCTTCCCACTGAATTCTGAGACCACCCCTCTACTCTCCCAGATGTGGGCCACAGGGCACTCCCGGGTCCCTGCTCACCCTCTCCCATACTGAAGAACTCACCACGCCACGGTAAGTTGGGGGGATGAGACCACAGTACACGGGGACAAAGCAGCCACAGTAGAGGGCCTGTAGGGAGAGAACCCGAGGAGAGTGAGGCTCTTGTGGCTGGGAGGGGAGGGCTCACCACCCTCTGGGGCACCACCAACCTGGTCCTTCTTAAATCCAAGGCGGAGGCACTGCCCTGGGGAGCCGAGCCCCAAGTTCAATTCCTGGCCTGGCCCCAAAGAGCTGGGTCCTTGTTAACCTACTTGGTAGTCTGGACCCATGTCCTAGCTGTAAAGAGATAAGGCAGCCTCAGTGACCTCCAGGGTCCCTTCTGGCACCATATCTCCATGAATCCAGTGGAATTCAACAGCCATTAATGTGTGTGTGGCCAGGGCCAGGCTCTGGGACCAAAGGAGAGTGAGATGCACCCACTTGGGAATGCTCGACAGGGGAGAGTAAGGAAGAAGGTGATGGTACACAGGATGACAGGGGCTAGGATAGAGGTGAACGTGGGCATTGAGGCCTCTAAGGAGGAGCACCCAACCCAGGAGAGTGTGGGACAGGCAGGTGTTGAAGGGAAGTTCCCAGGCAGAGTGACTAGTCTTGTCAAGCAGATGAAGTGAGCTGGGAAGGGGGGAAGGGCTTTCCAGGCAGAAGTCACGGCAAGTACAAAGGTCCAGAGGTCTGTTTTGTGTGTGGTTTGCTCTGGTTGGCAGAAGTAAGAGCAGAAGCTGATAGGAGGTAGAAGGGAGAGAAAAGTCTCAAAGAGCTGAGTGCTAAAAAATGCAGAGGGACATGAGGTAAGTTGAGGAGGTGTCCGTGCCTACTGCCCATTCATTCCCCCAGCCCCAGGATCATGGTCATGCTAGCGTGGGGCTGTGAGGCTGCATGGCAATGGTCTTGTATTCGGGAGAGAAGAGGGGAGTGGGGATATGGGAGGGAAAGTCATGCCACTTAACACTTTTGTCCTGAAAGAAAACTGGGCATATCCACAGCACTTGCCAACAATAATAACTCACAACTAAGATTTATATTAATGAGCACAGAATGGTGCACAGAGCACTCTATGTGATAACGCATTTGGTGATAATTCAGTCTTTTTATCAAGAGCCATTGGGAGAGAAGGGACAGAATGAAGGGCTGGTTCCACAAACTGGGATCTACTCCCTGGTCCGCCCCCACACTCCTCCACTACAATACCCGGGCCCTGCCCCCAACCCGGGGGCCTCACTCCTGCACCCTGGGCCTCGCCCCTTGCCTCAATGAGCTCTTCCTTGGATGTATACTCTGAAACCACGACACTCTCTCCATCTGTGAACCGGGTTAGGGACACGTGGAGCTTCCCTGTGGCGGCCTTGTAGGAGTCCTCGGGCAGGACCCTGTACAGAAACTGTCGCATCATCTGCACCATCTTGCAGGATGGCGACAAGGGCCCCAGGAAGGATTTCTTCACTTCTGCGACACCGACGTTGAGGACTCTGAGATACTCATCTATGGAGGAAGCACAGAAGAGAGGGCAGGTCAGCAGCCCCCCACCTTGTCCTACACCTGACAGAGGAAACCCCAAGAATTCTGAAGCAGGGCTGGTCTCAGGGATCCACCTGTCATTCTGCACACATGGAAAGCAAAGCACAGGAGAATTAAATCACTGCTTATCAATGGCAGAACTAGAGCCAGCCAGGGTGCCTGGGTGGCTCAGTGGGTTAAAGCCTCTGCCTTCAGCTCAGGTCATGATCCCAGAGTCCTGGGATCAAGCCCCAGATTGGGCTTTCTGCTCCGCGGGGAGCCTGCTTCCTCCTCTCTCTCTCTCTCTGCCTTCCTCTCTGCCTACTTGTGATCTCTGTCTGATAAATAAATAAAATCTTAAAAAAAAAAAAAAAAACAGAGCCAGCCATCCTGACTGAAGACAAAGGACCACTTGCCTACCCTACACTGTCTTTCCCCAGCTTGCCTGGAAATCTACCACCAGACTACATTCTTTGGGGGCCTCAGAGGGTTTTTTGCCTCGTATGAGATTCCTATTAAAACACTGGTACAACTGAAAGCCCTCACCAAGGGATACCCTGTGACCCTTTGCTTGGGGCCCACCAAATCTGTGGGCAGGGAAAGGGGACTGGCCCTGAGGCAGGTCACCTACAGGGATGGGTGACCTGTGTCTTGAAACCATGGCCTCCATCTAATCTTTAGAGCCCCTGGCACAGTCCTGAGGGAGAGAAGGCCAAGAGGTATGGAGCACAAGCTAAGCCAGGCCAAGCTGCATGTGTCTCCAGGACAGGGAGAAGAAGCTTCTCCCTCTTTCTAAGGGGAGCACAGCAGGGTCACATGAGGGCCTACATGTGCCAGGTAGGGCTTAGAGGGTGGATGTGTTGTTCAGGGGATCACAGAGGAAGGTGTAACCTGTCCCCCAACCAGCACCCAGAATTCCCCTGAGGAAGTTAGGGCTGTAAGTTTGATGAGAATTGCTCTCCTGCCAGATCTCATAGCAATACTATGAGGTAGGCATTTCTAGCCTCATTTCACTGATCAGGAGACTGAGGTTCAGAGAGATAATATAACTTGCCCAAGGTCAACCACCTGGTGAATGAACAAAGTGGGATTTTAACCTAGAATGTGTGACCCCAGAACCCATCTCCTTCCACTACAGTAGGCCACAGGCTTCTAGAGCTGGGCCCGTACCTGTTCCTTGCCTGTTGCTGCTAATTACTACTCTGTGCAAGCCCTCCGGCAAAATTAGAAGCTCTGAAAAGGATTGCTAACTTTTTTAAATGAATATTTAACTGTAGAACATCCTATGCTGAAGAACTCTCTTACAAGTAATGTCATGTAGATGTGGTTATTTGGGAAGTGATGCAGTCATGAGCTCTCTGCCACTGGAGGCAATCAAGCAGAGGTGGGACAAGTACCTCAGTGAAAGAACTTATTGAAGGGATTCCTGCATAAGCGTGAAGATTCTTTACATCATGGAGATTCCAAGGTTCTTACAGGTGCCTGACAATATATCTGGGGAGTCATCACTGTGGGCATTATTTTCCCATTTACAAATAGAGCCGCTGAGGCACAGGAGGTTAAATGATTTGCCCAAAGTCACACACAGCAATTCGGAGACAAGCCAAAGCCAGGGCGGTGCTCCTCTTCTGTGTTTTACAGTTCACAGATGATTCCTCCTTAACCCTGGAGATGGGTAGGATGAAGAGCTTCACCATCATTTTACAGATGAAGAGACCGAAGCAGAGAAAAGCTAAGTGCCTTGCCCGAGGTCAGACAGCCTGACGATGTTTGTTCTGATTCTAAATCCCACCTTCTTTCCCTGCACTTTGGACTGATCCCAGAGTCTGAGAAAGCCTGGGTTGCCATGGTGACCGTCTTTTTTTTTTCCGCCTCCCACACCAACAATCAGAATCACAACGCCTATGTGTAGTAAGGAAGGACCTGAGCAAGACAGCATTTTGGCTTTCACCCTGTTATAGGGGAGGATGCTCCCGGGAGGTGAGAAGGTGTGATTTTAGCAAGGTCAGCTTTACTGTGTCCCAACTTGTACCCACAGTGTTTTCCCTCAAGGGAGACCGATGGCCAACTCATCATCGTTATGTAGTTACGAAGCAACTGCGCATTTGGATACCAAGGGGCTGGGTCACTGAGTTCTCGCCCCACAAGACCAGTGAGGATGGGGAGTCAAACCAGGGTGGGGACACGCCATTTTGGGAATTCTTAATGAGCAGCTTGAGTGGCCTTGCATGGGTTGGTGGCCTTTCCCACAATGCCTCTGAGCCAGGAGCACCTGGTTCAGCTCATCCCTCTGCACCTGTACTCCCCACGGGAGATGCTCAATGGGACAGATGGAAGGAGATTTGTTCCCATTGCACAAGAAATACATGTTCCTTGGGGGGAAAATAACTTTTAAAAATGCAGATATGGGGGCACCTGGGTGGCTCAGTTGGTTAAGCATCTGTCTCTGGCTCAGGTCATGATCTCAGTGTTCTGGGATCAAGCCCCACATCAGGCTTCCTGCTCAGTGGGGAGTCTGCATCTCCCTTTTCCTCTCCCTCTGGCCCTCTCCCCCAGCTTGTGTTCTCTCTTTGTCTCAAATAAATACATAAAATCTTTTTTAAAAATGCAGATATGCAAAAAGAAAAAAATTAAAGTGTCTTGGAATCCCTTCAACCAGAGATCAACATCCCATTTATGTCTTTCTAGACTATATGTTACTTACCTTTAAGAATACTTACATGAAGTCATACTATATATATTATTTTGTAACTTGTTTTTTTAACCTAATAAATCATGTCTTTCCACATCAATAAGTGCCTATTTATAACCCAACTTACAAGCAGCATGGAAAGCTATTGTAAGGTTATCCCATTATTTGCTGAGCAGGTGCCCAGGAGGGGTTGGCTATGTAGTCTGTTTCTTTGCTTTTCTAAACAATGCTGCGGGGAATAATCTTGTGCTAATTTTTTTTTTCTCCCCTATGTCCTTAATAATTGTCCTCAAGATAAATTCTTAGAGGTGGGAATGCTAGGTCAAAGGCATGCATATTTTGTCTTGTACTGCTTGTTTTAATTGTGGCTTTTATATAGCATCCATTTACAGTCCGCTCTTAGCTCATCAGGAGTGGTGATGGGTGACAGGGACAAAGCAGTGGCCAAGACAATAGGAATAGTACAGACATCTCCAGGATATTCCCATTGGAAAAAGTGGTGCTGTCTAGAAATTAGCAGCCGTCTAGCCACGATCATGTAGTCAGAGAGGGAGGGGACAAGAGATTGTCTGACTTCTCCCACTCAGGTGCCCAGCTTCACATTCTCTCCTGCTGCTCCCTGGGGTTGTGGAGCAAAGGCTGCCTTTAACCCTAGCTCTCCGTGCTCCTTTTCAGGTCTCTCCCTGTGCCTCTGTCTTCAGAGTCTCCAACCATCCCTTTCTCTGTCTCTCTTTGTCTCTTCCTTCCTTCTTTCTTTCTTTCTTTTTTTTTTTTTTTCAAGATTATTTATTTATGTGTCTGAGAAAGAAACCACAGAGGGAGAGGAAGAAGCAGACTCTCTGCCAAGCAGAGAGCCTGATGCGGGACTCAAGCCCAGGACCCTGAGATCATGACCTGAGCCAGAGGCAGATGCTTAAATGTGTCTCTTCCTTCTTTCTCTCTCTTTTCCCAGCCAAGGGAGAAGCAACTAATCTTCTGGTTAAACAAGACTCTGTCGGTAGAAAGTCAAGTGTTAAGCATAGCAATTGCTGGGTTCTGGGAGAAGGGATAAATTTAGCTTGCTTCTTTATGCATCTCTGTACTTTCCAGCACCTTCTCCCATTTAAAGGCCTCCTTCCAAGCTGCAGGCTGCCGGGCTCTGAGACACAGTATCCCACACTGACCACAGCAAGATGGGATTTAAAAGCAGCACCACGGGGGACTCTAGGTTGGCTCTCCCACCCCCAACCTACGCTTGCTACATACACTTCTGCTTCCTCCCACCTCCTTTCACACCTTTTATTATCTAAGTGCGCTCTGTCTCCTAAGCCAAGAAGAAGATTCTCTGGGGGAAGATCCTTATGGTCCTCCCCTCTCTAAGTCCTATCACTGTGCTTTGCCTAGGGAAGGCCCTTCAGAAACCTTTGTTATAAGCTGGGAGCTCCTCAAGGGCAAGGACAGACCATACTCACCTTTGCCTACCAAGCCTCCCATGACCCTGGGTGGGTGCCCAGTGTTTGTTCAATAAAACCTGACAGGGAGGAAAAGCAAGTGATGGAGGTGTTCACAGGGAAGAGCTACTCAATGTCATTACCCAGTAAAAGCTTGAAGGCAAGATCATCCCAGATAGATGAATAGATAACCAGGCCAACTGTGTTGGTACTTGTGGCCAATTCATCAAGTTTATGAGCCTATTGTGCCAAGAATTTCAATAGAAAAATAAATAAGATCCAGGACTAGGAGATTTAAAGGGCATTTGGAAGCCACTCCAGGTCTCAGCCACTCAGAGAGTTTTGACTCTTTTCTAGGACCAGACCCATTTCACGGAACAAGCTCAGGCTGTGGAGCCAAGGGACATGATTGAAATCCCAGCTTCGCCACATACCATCCAAGCCATCATCAGCAAGTCAAATTAACTTCTTCTGGTCTCAATTTTACCACCTATAAAATGGGAATAATAATACCTTCAGTGGGTGGTTAGGAGGCAGATTGTTTTTTTTTTAAAAGCACCTGCACGTAGTATGTGCTCGCTATCCGTCAGGTTATGTCAGTAATTTTCCTCATGACCATGGAGAAGTCTTCTTGATGTTTCAGGCTTTTGGCTTTCTCACCTGAACAGGGAACAGTGATTCTTGCCCCATATATTTTTTTTTAAAGATTTTATTTATTTGACAGAGAGAGATCACAAGGAGAGAGAGAGAGAGAGAGGAGGAAGCAGGCTCCCTGCCTAGCAGAGAGCCTGATGTGGGACTCGATCCCAGGACCCTGAGATCATGACCTGAGCTGAAGGCAGAGGCTTAACCCACTGAGCCAC